CTCTACATGCTAATTGTAATGCCCCCTTTCTTTTCTTCCCGCCCTTATCCCTCCCTTCCCACCTGTCCTCCCCAGTCCCTTTCCCTTTGGTAACTATTACTCCATTCTTGGGTTCTGTGCTTCTGCTGCTGTTTTGTTCCTTCAGTTTTCTTTTGTTCTTATACTCCACGTATGAGTGGACAGTGGGTATGTGGTGGGATTTGATAATGTGGGGAATCTAGTAACCACAGTGTTGCTCATGTGATTGTATATCAATGATACCTTAATTTAAAAAAAAAGCATTAATGCATAGATGATTTCCTGGTGAATGTTTTGTTAAAATTAAACCTTTTCTTATGCTTTATTAGCAGTCATTTTTGATATAAGTAGAACCACAAAGGTATCTCTTTCTACTAATAGTTTTTACCTTTGTAATTAGACCAAATTGAGTCATTCTATTTTTGAGGTAAGTTTTCTATAAATACTTTATACATGATTTTTCTTCCTTTAAAAATGACATGGTGGTAAACCTTTTCTTTTATGTAAAGATCAGTGGAGACTTGGATAATAATTGTAAATGCATTTAAAGCCCTGCCAGTTTAATCTTTTTTTCTTTATTTACTATTTGTCATAAATTAAAAGGTAATGATTCTTGATGTTTCTTTTTAAATAGATATGATGATGCTATACAGCTATATGATCGAATTTTACAAGAAGACCCAACTAACACTGTAAGTTAGCTGATCGTCTTGAAGATCATCTAAATATAGGTGAAATTAATTCATTTTTGAGATAAATGGAAAAATATGTATAGAAATAGGTTTTATCTAATTTTAAGTATTTCATGACCACAGTTTTAAAATCTGATTTAAAACTCTTTAGTAAAATTTGACTTACAATCTTGTTAGACAGAAGCTAGTCAAAATTTAGAAAGAATTTGATGTGTTTTCCAAAAAGTCCAGCAGAGCTTATTTTTTGGGGAATATTTTGAAGTTTTTGATGTACTAACTTGTCTTATTTGGCTAGTTATATTAAGTCTTAATGAAAAATGAAAGAAGTCTTCTCAGTAATTAGTACATGGTATGAATGAAGGTGTTATTTTGTTTTTGCATTTTTTTCTGCCTTATACCTGAATAAGAACTTAAATAAAGAAAAAATATGTTATGTTTTTCTTTGTGTAGCATCTTTATCATGATGCTGAATTAATATTTATAGTAGTTTATTGGGCAGAGTATTTGTTCCAGATATATAGTATTATTTGTTTTAAAAATACCCTTGTGAAAATTTTTTTTTAATGTTGAGAACATTTAGTTTACTATATTGGCATAATACCTTTCCTCAGACTTGCCTTTTACTAAATGAAAAGTTAAAGAGAGACAATAGGTAACATATTAGGCATTTTAATGTTCCATGTTATTATGTCCATGCACATATATGCCTGCTAAAAGAAGAGATCTTTTGGGGATTTTTAAGTAAAAACTGGTTTGAATTTTTTCCCTTTTATTAAAGGAAGAGAAATTGTTATATTAACACAATGCAAATATGTGATGGCTTTCTCTTATTTGGGAAATATCTAATTAAAATTACACATTTTTAAGAAGTCATATTGTATGATTATATTGAAAGATGCAGAAATGCCTGGTAATTGAAAATTAGTCACTTGATCCGTTTTAAATAAATTATGCTGAGTTGGGAAATTGCTTAATAGTAAAGTATGTAATTTCTAGATAGCATTTATTCCAAGCATTCATTGATCTGAATACTTGACTTCCAAGAATACCTAATCTCTGTTTGCTTTTCTCATACTCTATAGTCATTACCTATATTTATTGGTTAAATGGTGCTGTCTTTTGCTAATTTTATTGAGATATAATTGACAAATAACAGTATGTAAGTTACATAATGTGATTTGATATAGAGAAATAGATGATAAAGAAATGGTTTCAACTTTTGCTTTTCATATTGTCCTACTACAGGGAAATTTTCTTTGGAATCTTCCTAGGTTTTTATTTTTGTGTGTTTTTGTAGATATTTGAATATCAGAGATTCATTATTTTGTGATGATTCTCAGAATATACAAAGTTTAGGGAAATGTTTTTACAGAGGTACAAGTCTACCTGTTACGAAGAACAAAATAAGAAACATCTTCTATTAGTTTATCTGAATAGTCCCAATAAAAGTTAAAATTGGAAAGTATGGAATAATTTTCTAATCTCAACTATTCTCATTGCTTGGCTGTCTGTCTTAAAACAATCCCTTGTTATAAAAAGCACATGTTTCTTTTCCTGAAGATTTTTTCATGTACTTTACTCCAGTTATAAGACTTCACTACAGTTGCAAAGGTATTCATTTTTCACACAGCCATATATTGAAAATATGAAATCAGGTTTCTGGAAAAACTTTTTTCTCATACCAGGTTAAAAATTAATAGCTTGTAATGTATTTTCTTGGAAATAGGAGTTACTTTATCTGTGTCTATTTAAGTTGGGAATCTTTTTAATAAGTTACTTCTTGAGGATCTAAGATAATAAGTAATTAAATATTGTTCTGTGGTTGTAGTATATTTCATGTTTTATGACTTTAGGGTAGGCTAAAAGAGAAATTCAAATGGTTCCCCTCATGGACTATGTATGTTGTTAGGTAAACATTTTGGAAAAAAGTTGACTAAATTTAGCTTTGCTAAATGTACTATTCTTTCATCAAATATTATTTTCATTTAATTTCCCCTCATTCCTTTATATCCTTCTGTAACTGTTTATTGAATACCTGTCATGAACCACCAAAGTATTGGTGTTAATAAGCCTAAAGACAGTGTTTCTGTTATTGTATCCATAGAAAGCGCTATAGTAGACCTTGAGGGAGACAAAGCCATATAAGACCTAGAACTAATAAAGTCAAGAGGGGAAGACTTTACTTATATTAAATAGTTACATTACTGTGTAAAAGACATCACAGTTTCTTTTTCCAAAGCAACATTAAGTGTATTATCTCATGGTGGGAAAGTCCAGTGTCATCCTCATCCATGGCTTTTATACCATACTTCTTTGTCTAAAAGTGATTGTATTACTCTTTTATTGGGCTTGTGCTTCTGTGTTCCTAGATATTCAGTATAGAAATGAGGTTATTTATTCAGTCTTAAAGAGCTCTCCCTTCCCTCTCACATGCATTCATTAAGCTTTAAAAAATATTTGTTGAATGTGTGTATTGGGAATAGAAGAATGAATTAGAGTAGAAGGATAAATTAGACACCATCCTTGACTTTTTTAGGGAGGCAGTATGATGTAATGAACAGATTACAGAGCTTGAAATACTTATTAAATCCTGATTCTTTGGTGACCCAGATGCATAATTTTTGAGCCATGTGGCCTTGAAGGATGAATGTGGCTTAAATAAGATGATGATGGACAAAGACATCCTATTCCTTGAATGGCATGATAAGCCTTAGCATTAAAGTACAAGGCCAACCTAGGGAAAGAAGAATAAAGTGATTAGAATGGAAGTTTTCAAATTTTTCTTTTGAGAGGGCACTGAAATGGAACATCTTTTCCCCATCTATTTTTAATAAGTAATGAAATATCCTTTTGATAATTAATTCTCATGTAAAAATAACACTACAAAAGAATATATGGTGAAAAATAAGTCTTTCCTCCCACCTCCAATCTCAAGTTCTCCTTCACTTAGGCAAGCATTAACAATTTCTTATGTACTATTCTAGAGATTTTTTTCCCATGAACACATAAATATGCATGGGTGCATACATGTGTGGATGTATCCCTTTGACAGGAAGAATGGTTGGAAATGCAAATGGTGGCATAATCTACCCAGCAGTATATTTTAAAGATCATGCTACATCAGCACATCGATTACATAATCCCTTGAATAGCTGCATAGCATTGCATTGCGTAGATATATAGTCTTGAAAAACAGTTTAACCTAAGTTCCCTTTGGTGAATGATTAAATCATTTCTTCCTCCCAGAAAGTGTTGCAGTGTATATGCTGCACTCAGAAGATCCAGCATTTAAAATATTGATAGATGTTATGAAATTTCCCCCCCACAAAGGCTTTTTTAGCCAGCTGTACTGATTTCTAAGGTGTATGAGAATGCTTCTTTCCTTGTATCCTCCCACATGGTATATTACCAGCTTTTTGTTTTAACACTTGCTAGTTTCATTGGTTAAAAATATTACTTGTTACAATTTGCATTATAAGTGATGTTGAATGTCTTTTAATATGCTTAAAAAGCCATTTATATTTACCTTTTTGAACTGCCTCCTTTAATATCTTTTTCAAGTGAAATTTCATTTCTGTTCTGATTGAGAAGAGGGCATAGTTCTGCTGCTCTCCCTAGTTAACCTCCTCCTTCACTGATTCACCTTTGAGGAAAACTAGGACTCTGACAATATTTAATACCTCTGAGTTGGTTCATTATACAGAGTGACAGTAGGTACAATAAGAAGGTCTGTATTTGTGAACAACCTGTTATGTTCCACTTCAAAATTTTTATTTTAATCCTTAGAAAATGGAGAATGAAGATAAATTTTGGTTGGGGAAATACCACAGATATTTTTAGAGATAACTTTGTTGGTCAAATAGGAGATGTTTTGAAGGAAGTGAAAAGATAAGTGATTTGGAGGTGGTTCTGTTTTAGGACAGGGATTATGGGGATCTAAAAGTAGGAATTGGAGGGGCATGAAGGAATGGGTGAAAGCATATTTTGCAATAGAAGTACTCAAACAATTAAAACTTAGATGTGGATGTTATTTTAGAAGAGTAATTCTCAAGTGTGAAAATTTTAGTCACCAGATTATCAAAATCACTTATTGGATTAGGCTGAACTTTTTATCCCTTAGGTACCCAACACAAGTCAGTTTTTCATTTGATTGCTTTTAAAATGTATGTTCATCCTTTGAAAGATCCTTGAGGGAAAATATTATGTCCATTGCATGGAACAATGTCTAGCATATGGTAGGCCTTTGTTGAATACTTGTTAAATGAATGCCTTTTAGAAAAAAGGTATAATAATTATTGTCTTCTTAGTTGAATTTTATATTTCAAGAAGATCAGATTTTGCCTTGAATTGTGAACTGCCTATTATGATGTATCAAATATTTGAAGTCTTATTTTGGAATTAGATGTAATTGCCTTTGTGCCAAGAGTGCAGATACTTTCACAATGCCACATTTCCTAGGGTCTCCTATACAAGCCTGGAGGCAGAAGGACACAGAAGACTACTTTTATTCTGTTGGCCCATGATCTGATTTTTCTGGCACTCAGAATTTGGCGAGGGGGAGTTCTAGATTGTATTTTGATGATAGACTTTAATTCTTTAAATCCTTTTCTAAACAGTGCCTCTCCCCAAGTAGCCTGTTTTTTAAAGATGTGACATGTCTTTCTGGAAAAATTGATAAACCCTTGTAGGTAATATTACAGAAGGCATGTAGCAAATTTGATGATTTATTTATGGTAACAAGTACTGTTTCAAAGTTTCATATTTTATAATATAAATTCTTTTTAAGATATAAACTGACTTTTACAAAGACTGATCCAGATAAGGAAATAAGAAAAAATCAGAACATTGTCATATTTTAGAGGAAAAGAAGTACAAGAAAGAAATTCAAAAGGAATGGGTAAATAAATACTCAAGCCTACTTGATGTTTAGTCTAATTGATACTATATTTTAATTATTTTGACATATAACTGATGTAGAATAGACTGCACATATATAAGGTGTACAGTTTGATAAAATTTTGACATTTTTATATATGACATGTATGTACCTGTGAAACCATCACCACAATCAAGATAGTAAACAAAACCATAAAGCTGTCTTTTCCCCTTTCCATTTTGTTTTCCTATAAATATTCTTGAGCTCTCTTTTGGGACATAATTAAGGTACTTGGAAACAATTTGATCCTTTCTGAGACTTCATCAGAGAGGACCAGAAAAGCTTTTTAATACTAGGGCTAAGTATTCCCAATAAATCCTTCTGGTGCCCAGTCATCATGGCATATTCTTGTCTGGCTGGTAGGAAGAAGCATTATAACCAACCCTTATGAACTCCTCCTCCGCCTAAATCTTTCTGCTGCTTCTTTCTTTGACTTTGTGTAGTTCACTCACACACTCACACATACACACACACACACACACACACACACACACACACACGTACAAATCTGAAAACTCAAGGGAAACCCTTGCTATTTGAAGGAAATCTCTAGGGACCTTATTCTATGTTTTTCTCTCTTCTCCAGTCCTCTGTCCAGTCACCTATAACCTCTTTGATCTTTCTCACCTCTCAACTCCTTGTGCTGAGCTCACCAAGTCCCATGGGTTCGACCTAGTTTTTTTCTCCCTGCACAGCACCCTTGAAGAGCTCACATCTTTTGTTACTGTCCTTTCAGGAATCACTGTCCTTTGTTGGCCTGTTGGCCTGTGCCTTAAAAATGGTTGTTTCATATATTTAGTTCAGTTCTTTGGTTGTTTCAAGCAAGAGGATAAATCTAGTCCCTGTTACTCCACTATTGGCTGGAAATGAAATCCCTGTGTAATGCTCATTTAAAATGATCATGATAAATAAAAATTGGTTCTTATGCTAGAATGTGGTATTATTTTTTCTTTAGAAGATAACCTGGAAAGGGCTATTGTTTAGTATGTGACTTAACAATATATCATTGCCTGTATAATAGTTATTGCCATGTAGGTTTTTCTTTAAGCTGTTTTCATAGTTTCTTTAGGAAGACTGTCTTTGCATAGAGTTATTACTTAAAAGTTTGTTTTAAACTTTAGCATATTAGGAAATAAAATGCAATGTCTTAGGTTTTACATGATTAAGCAGTATATTGCTATTTATAGTAGAGATTTGGGGGCATTTTTCTAAAATTGATTACTAAACCTTATATTTAAAGTCTTTTCTTATACTTCATTGAAGTATTCGTTAGGCAGAAAACTCCTAGTTTGTAAAATAGCCTATTGTAAAGTTAATACTGAATTTGTTTTACATTATTATGAAATTACAACATTCCACTTACTAAATCAAGTTAATAATAAGAAATTATTTAATTTATATTTTGGATTCTTTTAGGATGGGAATCAGAAATTTCAGATACTACTTCTAATCCTACCTATTTTGATGCATTTAATAAAGCTGTTTAAATCTCTGTTTTCCTTCATTTATAGAAGGATTGTTTTTTAAAAACCATATTAAAGATTAATTGTCTTTGAAGTGCTTTACAAACTATATTCTGCAAAATTCTGCTGACCTAAGATTGTTGGTGTATGTTCAACAATAGAAGAGTGGTTCTGTTGTCAAATCACTGAGGAAATGAGTTAAACAAAACTAGGTGTTTTCGTACATGCTTCTTTGTGAAACTCATATTAACAATGCATAGTGATGTCTATTACAGTGTGCATACCATACCTTTTACTATGACTGTAGAAGTACTAGTTGTTATTTATTCATGTTTACATTTTGACTCTGTCTGATTTGTGGCATTGAAATGGAATATTTTCAACAAGTTTCACTGCATCTGTACTCTCAGCTGGTGCAAAACTTACAAGGATTGAGACAGAATATCAATACCAGACTAAGCAAGCCTGTGCCAGTCCTTTTAAAGATTTTATAGGTAGAGCTTTTGGCAAGGCTTATTACCACGTATATATGTTAAGTGTAAACCAAAGATAAAAAGACAGAAGATAATATTCAATACCATTATATGCTACGTACTCTGTTAGTTGGTTTACATTAATACTTGGAGATTGGTGGTGCTACTGAGGTTTGGGGAGGTTGAATATTTTACCCTTGGTTAGAAAACTGGTAAAGTCGAACACTGGGATTCAGTTTTCTTGTCTTTTTTATTTCAAAACCTTGGCTCCCTGCTCTATCATATTGCAAGAGTAGTGTCATGAAAAGTGAAAGGAATAAACTAATATGTTTCTAATCATGTTGGATTGGTGATATTAGATATATGGCCAAAATAAACTGGTTTCTTAATTATACATTAATTTATCCTTCACCTGTTTTCAGAAGGACTTGGGATAAGGCTCTCATTTGAAGTCTAACATACTTCTGAAAAGTTCTAGGATTGAGTTACTTTTAGAGCTTTATTTTTACTTCCCTTCTGAATTCTTGAGCCTTTTAAAATTTACAATTATTATGTTGCTTTTATTGTTTTACACAGTGAGATTATTCCAAAAATATTTCAGTACCTACGGTGCAGCAGGCATTGTGCTAAGCCTCTGGCATGAGCCATATAATCAAGGGTACATTTATAACACATATGCCATTTTTTTATTACCAGAATATTATCATTATTATAATGTTCTTGGTCTTATTTATTGGGAGTATTTCTTGACTCTCACTGATTTTTGACTTTTACTTCCAAGCAAAAACTCCACCCACAACAGTTGCTTTCATTAGTGTAAAGAGTCCCCTGTTTTACTCCCTTTGTCCTTATCTTGTGGAATGTATTTTATATAAAACAATACCAATCATGTTCATAATTAATAAGGTTAGCCTGGCCCTAGTTATAGCTTGTTTTATTACTTAGCCTTCTGCATCAAATTAAACAGAAATGGAGGGGATGTAAATTTAGTAATTCATACAGTCTTTCAGTTCCTGACTATTCATTCCAGCCTTAAAAATACAGTCTTCATTGCACATATATTGCTGTCTCCTGTGCTTCTGTGCCTGTGTTCTATGTAGTGTCCTCCACACGATTTTCTCTTTTGCTTTCTTAATATTTTCTTCTCCTTTCTATTTCAGTACAGGTATCACATCTGGGAGCCTTTTTGCTTCCTGTCCTTCTACCTCCTCCACTCTTAACAGAGCATGTGTTAGATCTCCGTGTTGCCACAACACTCTAGATATCTCTATCACTGTCATTTTATTTGATGTATCTTTCTCTCATGAGCTCTTGCAAGGAATTATCTATTCTTTTTTTTTATGCTTATATTTTCATCATCTAGAGTAGCACCTGGCAAACATAGATGTTTAGAACATATTTGATGAATGCCTAAATAAATGGCATTGATTTCATGTTTATCATTTTAAAAACTTTAAAATGTATGTTTTAAATGGTTTGTCTATTATAAAATATTTCTTTCAGGAACTTTATTATTATTTTGAGACTCATAGGTAGATTTTTTTCTTAAAATTGTAAAAAAGGTTATCAGAAGCTGTGAGACATTTCAAGTGTCCGTGGTGAGATTTTATTTTCTAAACTCCACTATCCCTCTATCTCTTAAGATACAGATCTTATGAATGAGACAGACTAAAGGACTTTAGGCTGGATAAAGATTAGGATTCCCTGCTGGCTTGTAATTATCAGAATCTGGATGGTTATTTATTTGAATGAAATGATGCGTACATTGTATACATCAAAAGTAAAGCATATGTGATTGTTAGAGGAATGTTTGAATTCCCCAGTGGGATGTCATGGGGTATGTTTATAAACTCCCACTAAGCAGTAGTTCCACAATGGAATTTCACTGGCATTGAGATAATAATTTGCACAGTCAAATTACCTTCTTTACAAAAACCCAGGGAATCATGAGGACCTAATCCTTTATTAATGTCAACCCATAGGCTGCAAGAAAGCGAAAGATTGCCATTCGAAAAGCCCAAGGGAAAAATGTGGAGGCCATTCGGGAACTGAATGAGTATCTGGAACAGTGAGTGTCTTACAAGAGGATTGTGTTTTTTTATTCTGATAAATCTTTTTTAATTAAAATGGAATTTGCATTTGATTTTCCTTTTTGCTTCCTTGCTGTTCATTTACACAATATCTACACACTTACTTTTTCCCTTTCCTCTTACCAGATTTGTTGGAGACCAAGAAGCCTGGCATGAACTTGCAGAACTTTATATCAATGAACACGAGTAAGTTGTTAAAACACCTATAAAACTTTGTTAGCACAATTTTCATCACCATTATGTAAGTTTAGAAGACATAGTGGTGATTGGTGAAAAGCATTAGTGAGAGGGTGTGAATCATGTCTTATTTTAAATAAACTAAATAATTAAAAATCAATGATTTACTGGTTATATTTTGTGAATTGCTTTTACTAGGTCATTTGTGTTTTGTAGATTATTTTTGTTTGGGAAATAGTTTTTCTTTCAAATATAGATGGCATTCTTTGGAATTAGAAAGGCCTGCATTTGCTGAGCTAAGCTTATTTTTAGTGAATCAAAATTGTGAATTTTATAGTTTAAATTGTTCTTATATACAAAGAGTATTATACTCCCTGCTGTTTAAAAATTCTGTCAATTGTATGCATTTATTAGTCTTATTATTAAGAGAATCAGGTCTTCCAAAGTAGAAGCATTCTGTTGCCTGGGTAAAAAACCAAGAATAATCAAGAATGTTGAATGCTGTAGGAACTTGCTTATTGGATATTTATGTTTTTGTTAGCTTTTTTATTGCTGCAGTGACAGGAGGAAATCCCAGTGTGAGAGGATTAGCCCAGTCTTAGTGCAAGTTTTCTAATATCACAGCATTAACACCAACCTCCATCTAGAGACAGGATTTTTTTCTTATTTCCCTTTCTTCTGAATCTGAAGTATATCACATTGTTTCTCTTCTTTTTTTGAGAGAAAGAATCAGATTCTCATGCTCATGCTCGTATTCTAACTTTGCACGAATTGTTAACCTCATTCTCATTCTGCAAATAGCCGACACAGGAAATTAAAATAGAGTGAATACACTTGTCTTTTGCATTTGCCCAAGGCTATATAAGTAATGTGAAATGGGGGAATTAAGTTATATCCATAATTCTCATAAAATTGGGAGCTAAAATAAAAGTAACAGCTGTCATTTAATGAAAGTGTACTGTATTTTTCTGGGAACCATTCTTCAGTTCTCTACTATACTTTAGCTGCCAGATTCTCTTTTTTCTCTGTTAGGAGATTACCTCCTAAATCATGTGCAGTATAGATGTATGTATGCTTGTATGATCATATATGTAAATATAATCAGGATTCTCTTTTGTATGTGAGGGTGGCAATGTATTTGGTTTAAATGGTAATGTTTCCTGTTTTAATAGTTCTAAAGTAAAAATTTATAACATATACAATATATAATTGCATAACATGAAATGTACATTATATGTTTACATGAATATAACATATAACAGCAAACTGAGTTTTCAGAATGTGGTAAAAAAAAATTTTTATTTTGTCCCTAAACCAGATGACAGTCATTTAAAATGCTTGTGTTCCTTTTGAAGACGTGATTAAAAGCATTTAAAAACATTTCAAATCATCAAGGAACTTTTTTGGTTTAATTAAAGAAATACCTAATACAGAAAATATGGAAAACCCAATAAAGAATCAATATGAATACAAAAATTATTTGTAACTGCATCATCCTGAATTAACTACAGTTTATATTTGCTTTTTTCTTGAGCATCTTTTGAAACAAACAGAAACTCAAAATGGAATTATCTTTTGTAGCTTATACTTTATTTTAACTTAATTATATTTTGTCAGAAATTCCTTATTACCATAAACATTGCACAGTGTGATTTTAATGGTTTTATATTATTCTAAATTATTAATGTACACTAGTATTCTTTATCAATTTCCTAGGGGAATATAAAGGTTGGTTTTTATTTTTTCTATAATGCTGTACTGTCTTTATTTTAATTGTTTCCTTAAAAGTAGCAGAATTACTTGATTAAATGATGTGCACAGTTTTAGTGCTTCTGATAAATCATTCCTAATAATTCACTAGAAAGGTAAGATAAATTTACTCTCACACCAGCAGTTATTAGAATGTCGCCAGAGCAACACCAGGTGCATTTTTTTAATCTGCAAATTTTGTTATGTGAAAATTAGTTACAATTTTTAAAGAACTCTTTATAGAAATGATATGAGCCTTTGTCCTGCAAATTATGTCCTTATTTTTGTTTTTAATGTTGATATTTTTAGCTTACAGAAACTTTATATTTTTAGATGGTCAGATGTGTCAATTTTTATTGCTTTCATGTTTCTGTCCTCTAAAAACTACATAAATATATCTCCTTTCTTTCTATTTCTTTAATTTTATTTTTTATGTGTTTCTGTTATTTCTGTATTTAGTTATCAAATAGGTTATACTTAATTTTTAACCTATCTTTAAATTTGTTATTATTTGCTTCACCTTGTAATGACTACATTCACTTTTGCTTTTTGTTTTGAGTCTCTCAAGAGTTTATTGAGGTAGAGTTGAATGTACACTTAAGAGAAATGAGCTGAAAAAATCCTGAGAAGTCAAGAAATACAAGGATAGAAAAGCACCTGAAAAATAATTTATTTTCAGGGGAAATAAAAATTCTGTTCACCTTACCCTTTTATCTTGTATCTCAAAAGTTTTTTTCATCTCAATGCTAGTTATTCACAAAAGGAAAATACAGTTTTTTTAATTGAACCCTTCCAGGGAATATTCATATTTAGGGTAAATGGAAATAAATATCTCCAGATTTTTTGTGACTATATTAAAATCAGAATCTGCTTACTTAAATGATTTGACTAATTTGGGCAAATCATTGTAGTAGGATTTTTTTTGGTAGAATTGATGAATTAGTGAATTATTTTGGAAGGTCACTTTAGCACAATTTTGTGGACACTGGCAAAAATGTAGCAATTTAGGAATTGGTAGATGTATTTAACATTTTTATATTCTTTTCTGCATATGAATAGTTATAAGCTATGTTAAATCTAATAGGTTACAGGCAGCATTGTTAGTCTAGATCTATAATTTTTTACTCTAAATTTCCACAGTAGGATGTTCAGATAGGCCTACTCATTGTTTTTATAGGGGTAAAGGGGATATGGAATTTTGTTGCATACTTTTTTTTGTATCTTTAAGTTATTTTTATTTCCATTTACTTCTGATTTATAAATTCTAGTTTGTATTTTGTTATTCCAGTGTATACATCACACCAATTGACCATATTGAGACACTTTACTTGTTCTAAATATAAAAAATGAGTTATAATTTATGTTAGCACTTCCAATATGTATTACATATTTTAAATAAAGGTTCTTAATGCTTTTACTTGATTGGTAATTAGAACTAGATGTTATATCAGCAAGGAGCAGTTAGTATAAATTAGTTATGATTGTGATTATGATCCTTTTTTGTAGAGCCTTACTATAAAATTCTATAGCAACTGGAATTATCAAGATCCTATAAGGAAAAATCATAATGTTGATAAAGCAATCTAGGAACAAATGCTGTGATCTATTATGGGGTTTTGTGAGGAGCAGAAGAATCTCGCAAGTTTTATTTTGTTACTTACTCTAACAGTATTTTAAATAGATACAAATTATTTTTACTTCTCTAATCCGAGTATCATCAAATCATTGTATGTAGTGAATTAGCTTCTTTATGCACCTGAAATAGTATTGGCTCTTTTCCATCCTTGGGAGAATTGAGAAAATAGTCCCTCAAATCACTTTCCATAGGGCTTTATACTTTTGGACTACCCTGGCTAGAAAAACTGGATTAGAGAATTTTGCTCCTTCTAGCTTTAGTTGTATTTGATTTTATGCTTTATCCATAAAATTAATTTGATTTTATACTTTGAAAAATGGGGGAACGGATCCCTTTCTTGTATGTGATGCTAAATAATTTTTTAGAAAAATATTTTGGCATTTTTAGTAGAAGCTCCTACCTGCCCAGTTTATTTCACTTCCTGCTTTTAAGAACCAGAGTCACAGTTGTGCTCAACCCATTTAAATCTCTAAGAGCATTTATTCTTAGGATTAATAAGAATTTTTGGCATAATCTAATTAAAGGAATACACTTAAAACGGAATCGTCTTTTTGATGAAGCTGGGTGTTGAAGGCAGGGACCACCTACCCCTTATAGAATGATAAATGAGTATCAGGTAGTCTTGATACTTTTGTTTAGGCATTTATTCAGTCATATGTTCAGTCATTTGTTATATACCTATCGTGTCAAGAACCAATGCTTTTGGTTGTGGATATAAAAATGAAAAGGGCTAAATAGCTGCATCATCTGTGATGAGAATCTACATATGAGGTCCTTCATAAATCTAAAGTGTTGTCATTTTGGGAAATCTGCAGGGTATTTTTGGTTCCTCCAGCTGTTTGGGTTTCATTGCTATACCCATTTTTATGTTACTATTGACATTCTTCATCATTACCATCACTATCACAATTTTTCATTGTGTGCAGTACATATAGGCAGTATGCATAGTGGTTGAGAGTAGGCTCTCTGGAGGGGCACAACCTGAGCTTCAGTTTACATCTCTGGGCCTTAGTATTCTCAGCTATTGAATGGTGGTAGTAATTTCCTACTTCCTAAGGTTTTGGTAGGGTTAAATGAATTAATACATGTAGCACACCTAGAGAAGTACATGATTACCATAATGAGCATGTAATAAAAACCGTTATTAATTAGTACACATGTGAAACTGCAACACATATGTTTTGAAAGGTAAGTATATCAGACATTAGTATAAGCTAGGTACTTTGTATATTAGTGAGAAATGCCAAAAATAATTGTAGGTAGCCTTTTTCTGCTGGGTACTGTCATCACCTCCTCACTGGTAATAAATCTTAAAATACCTGTGTTCTTGAGGATTTCCTTTAAATAGTGAGGCTATTCACATGGCTTTAAACATTAAAATACATTAAGGGGAATTATGGTTGTGTGTGTGTAGAACTATTTTTCCAGAGTCTTTTGCAGCAGTTCTCAGGTATTCAGCAAGATTTTTCTCCACCACATGATTAAATAGTAGTAGAGTACATGTCAAAACCACTGACTTGATCTATTGGGTTTAAAAATTTGTAACTCCATTATAATTTTGTATTTGACAGTAAACCTAAGTAATGGAAAGTCTTTATAATAGAACATGTTGGTAAATATACGTCCATAAAGGATTTTTAGTAAATGATAGAGTATTTAATAAAATGTTTTTTCCTCCTAACATTTTTGATATTTGAATATTTTAAATGATCAGTTGACTTCTAGAAGTTATTTTATATGTAACTTGATCCAGGGTCTTGAAGTCTGTGTTATTAATAATGTTTGGATGTCAATGGTAGTGACCCAGTTTTAAAATGTCACATCTATTGATTGTTCATTGGCTATTCTAGGATTTAGGCCTCTGTTTATTCTTTTACTTAAAAAATTTTATATTATTTGTATTTAGAAATTCCAGATAAGTACTTTATCAATAAAGCTATGTAAGCTATTTTGGAAATATAATGTCTAACATCACTAAAATTATTTTCAAATTATTTTCAAATTATTTTAAGGCATAACTAAGATAAAATTTTTCCTGTTAAAATTAGTTTTTCCTTTTGGTATTTTTCAGCTATGCTAAAGCAGCCTTTTGTTTAGAGGAGCTTATGATGACTAATCCACACAACCACTTATACTGTCAGCAATATGCTGAAGTAAGTGTTTTCAAAAACAACAATTGTATATGATTTTATTTTTGTGTGTTGGATATTAATATGGATTAAGAATTAATGAGGACTAAGAATATGTTCTTAATGTTATATAAGTATATAAATGTTTAAAGTATCTGATGAAGATTGACTCATGGGAATAAAAATTAAAAATTTTTAATACTATAATGGCAATACTGACTTTTCAACTAAAAGCACTTACTTAAAGCAGTCAAATTCTTTGAAAGTTTTATCATACACTATTTATTAAATATGAATTATAATTGTCAACTTTTAATGGCTTCTAAGATATTTACAATGATTTTGGATTTTAAATCCATATCCTGGGAAATTCATATTAAGGTCAGTGTTTTGGGAAGTAGGAAGTATTTATCTTATTTGCTTACTGTAAGGAATACTAATACAGTTTTATGCTATAAAGGAGAAAGATTTCATTATTAAGGAATGTCAGTGCAGCTAGGAAAGGACAATTCAGTAGCCAAGTCTTGATTTAGAATGCTAGTAAGGTAAAATATAAATTTGTAACGTATTTACAAGGTAGTTTAAGTATACTGACTTTTTTACACTGGCCGCATTTTTGTTTTAAAAACTACTCAGTGGTCTTAATGTTCATGGAATAGGATAATTTTGAGGGGAGGTTTGCTTTAAAATTTAGATTAGCTTTAACAGCTTTAAGATAAATTCTTTTAACATCTTGCATTTGTTTACAGAATATTTCAATTCCTAATGTCTATGGTATGATGAAACATGCTATATTTCAAAGTAGTAAAATAAACAGGTTTCAGCACTCTGCAATTTTCAATAGGTTAAATATACCCAAGGTGGACTTGAAAACCTCGAACTTTCAAGAAAGTATTTTGCACAGGCATTGAAACTGAACAACAGAAATATGAGAGCTTTGTTTGGGCTTTACATGGTGAGTTGAGGTGCATATTTAATGTTATTTTATGAAACCTGTCACTTAAAGTCCAATAACTATGCCATCCAATCACTTCTCTCTTTATTTTTTATATTTTGATAAGAATGAGATTTTTTCTCTCTCTGGTTATTTATGAGCAATAATAGGTTGTAAGACAGTTTTCGTTTGATTGTTTATGCCTCCAGCTATTTGACATTGCATTGTAAAATATCTTTTATTGTATCAGAATTGAAATCTGGTTTTATAAAATTAAATAACAGATAAAAAACCATATTATATATATCTTAATTGTTTCTATATTCTTGGATTTATGCCCAACATTATTGTGTTTCTTACCTTGAATTATAATTGTATGGGATATTTTTTAGCTGTGCTAAAAAAAGACATTAGAAATAAAATCTTTTTTAAGTTTAAATGAAAACATTCTTTATAATATAAATAAACAATTTAGAAATTGTGGGATGCATGGAATTAAATTTTTCTGTTGTTTATGTATGCCAAATAATGAACCTAGAAAAGTCAATTAAGAGCTATGTGAAATAGAGGAAGAAATTTGTGAGCTTNAAAAAAAAAAAAAAAAAAAATATATATATATATATATATATATATATATATAAAATGAGCCCTTCTGTACAATCAACTTTTCTTTAAAAGGCCAGTTCTTTGACATCTTAATGTATCCTAGTCTTGTCATGGACTTCTGGATGAATATCTTCTAGGGGCTCAGTAAGAAAGAATTGACTGCAGAAATGGAGTCAGGAAGAAACAGAAATCAAATCATTCTCAGGAAAGGAATGATGAAATATGATTAGAAAACAGTTCAAAGGAATTTTTAAGAAATTTTTCCTGGATCTACCAAAGCCAGATACAGTAGCTTAGAGATACAGTGTTGCAGCAGTGTCTCTTTTTATCAAATAAATTAAGTACTGATTAAAAAATGTATGACACAAAATAATAATAATAGTTTATACATAGCACTTTATGTACCAGGCATTTTTCGCTCTTTTTTATTTTAAATGATTAAACTCTCACCTCAACAATTTGAGATGTTATTACTACCATTTCACAGAAGTGAAACTAAAAGACATACAGAGGTATAAGTAATTTTCCCAAGTTTGGGCACAGAGCTATTAAATAATTGAGGTGGGTAGTTGAGTGCAGTCAATTTCCTTAACCACTGCATTTACTGAAATTCATGCCAAAAAGATGATATTAAAGGTTCATAAGTGTGAAAATCTGATTTTTCACATATAAATTCCTTAGTGACAGAGGAGGTGCTAAAGGGAAAAAGCCTATTGGGCAGAATATATATCAGAGAAGCACTGCACATTTTTTTGGAATCATGTGGGCAGGTACTTCTAAATATAAGAAAATTAATCATAAAATTTACATCTTCTTCTCCCCAAAATTTTTAACATACACTTAAAAATTAGTATATGATTTTGGGAGTTTACAGATTTTTACATGGATCCCAGATTAACAATTGCTTCTTTAAATATATTTTAAAAAAGAGAAGATGAATCAAATTGCTGTGACTAATCTTTCTGTGGAACACAGTTTTGAAACTTTTGAAATAGTGGAAAGGGAAATAGATTGGAAGTGAATGATCTCTTTTTATATTTCTGACTTTAATGCCTTGCTCTGGTCAAGTCAAATCAGTCCTATTACACTTAAACCTTTTTCATGTAGTAAGTTGCACTAAATTATTTTTGAGGTTCCTTTTTATATTGATATTCAATAATTCTGTAATTCATAGGAAAGCTGAAGTAATTCAGTAACAGGAAATAACACCAGTAATATCCTACAGTATTTAAGTGGTAATGGAATTTTACCTTAAAGAGCTATGCTAGGTTAACTTGATAAAATAATTTTAGATACTATTTAAGATAACCTTTGTCTTCCCATTATTTTGTATTATTTTGTATTTTAAGATTATTTTCATTTTTAAAAACTAATTTCATTCAATTACTTTAAAAACTGTTTTGGTACAATTTTTAAAACTCTTTGTTATCATCCTATTGTAGCTATAATCTTTACATGTTTTTTATTATCTTACCCAGAAGAAAGGAATTTTGTTCTTGATGTTCCTTTTTTGTTTTTAGTCAGCAAGTCATATTGCTTCTAATCCAAAAGCAAGTGCAAAAACAAAGAAGGACAACATGAAATATGCTAGTTGGGCAGCTAGTCAAATAAATAGAGCTTATCAGGTTAGTATTGATCATTTTATATTATACAGATCAGTTATTATGTTGTATTTCTTGCTGGTTGTTTCTGTTTCTACAAACTACAAAGCTAGATGTCTATCATTGTACTTTTATGCCATTGGGCCTTTATCAAATGTGTTTTAACTCTATAGAATTAACTTGTAGCTGTCAGATCTTTTTTTTCCTCAAAAGGTGTCTATTACTGTTATGATCCCCTAATTAGCCTTACCATCTGGCTAGTTCTCGGTAGTTCTGCATTTGACAAATAAGTAATTCTAAAAATCCAGAAAAGATAAAAAAATTTGGATAATGCATTTCAGAAGCAGATTGTATTATTAATCAGAGGTAACTGAAGTAATCAGTAGGAAGAAAAGTTTAAAAGTAAACTAACCAGATTGTATAACAAAGTTTATATTCTTAGCTTTACCCAATATATATTACCTGAAAGATAGCTTATCTCCACCACTCATTCATTGGTTTTCTGAAGCTTATCCTGAGGAGATAGTTCAGGAGGGGCTCATGGAAAAACATTATCTTCTTACATCTTGCATGTTTATAACTTATCTGTCTATAGTCATTAATATTTGAAGTACAATTTGGCTTTTGATATAACCTTTGACTTATATTTATTTATCTTAAACATATTGTTCCATTGTTTTTTAGAATGAAATATTGTCAAGAAGTCTGATGCTATCCTGATTTTCTTTTCCTATTAAGTGACTTAGATGTTTTGTCTGGTTGTCCCAAGGAATATTTTTCTTTAATCCAGTTTATTCAGTAGTTTTACTACAATATGTTTTATTGATTATTCTCCAGTTTTCCTAAATATACAATAGACCCTTTTAATATTTAGTACTCTTTTAATTTGAGAAAAGTTGCTTTTAGAATTATAGTTTTAAGTATTTTTTTCTATTTGATTCCTTAAGTTTCCTTTTTCAGGTCTCCAATTATAAGTTTATTGGATCTCCTTTCCTATCTCCTATAGCATTCATTTTCTTTCAAATCCTTTCTGTCAATTTCTTTATTTTTTTTTCTTTTTCCTCCATAATAACTTCTTATGGAGTTAGTTCATACTGTTTTTCTAGTTATCCGTGTTTAAGTGAGATAGTATTCCTGGGCTATTAGGAGGAAGTTTTTATGGAATAGGAAGAGTTAGAGATAGGATAGGGTAATTTTCTCAGCTTGACTTTTCTATGGCTTCCTCTTCTTTGTTACGGAGATCTCAAATATGACCTGTCTGTATATACAGTCTTTTTCAGAACTAGGTCTGGTTTAGAGAATTTTCTGGCTGCAGCCCTTTGTTCTATCCCTAGAGCTGTACAGATGTTGAATTTTGAAGTGTTGCTCTCAGCTTTAAGTGTTGGATTTTGTTGCTAGGTTTTTTTATTTTTGTTTTTTATTTTCCTTATTCTGGTATTTGCTGTCTTTGGGCATCCCTACCTTCACCATCCTTTAGCTGAACCATCTATCCCTCTTACCTCCAGTGTTTCTGCCTATTCAATTTACTTTAAGTTTCTGGTAGTTTTTCTTCAGTGTGAGAGGTCTTTTTCTCTTCTGGAAGAGGATGTTTGCTAGGTATTTCAGAGATTTTGAGGTCTTAGACTGTTATTCTTCTTTAATGTCACATTTGCATGCAGTATTTTATATTTTCACTTGGAGCCTTTGAGGCTGTATATTTTCAGATTCATCAGTTCATACTTTTTTCATTTCTGTGGCTTGTAGAGTAGTAGGCTGTCATCTTTTACTTCTTGTTGCTCCTGCCACACAGCTGTTAATCTTTTCTTGCTATGGCTACAGTGATAAAAACACATTCTGTGGTTTTGGAGGATTGCCTGCAATGCAGTTTTCTCAAAGATGTCTTCTTTGGGCTTGTTTTCTAATGTTTTGGTTTTGGTGCTGTTTGTTTATTTCTGTACTCCTGATTGGAGAAGGTTGGGGAGATTTAAAAAATTCAGTATCCACATAATCATATCATTTAAATTTATTTTGCATATATTTTTTATATATAATAAATAATGTTCTGTTGGCATTTTGTAAGTAATAATATTTATAAATATTAGCTAGGTGGTACTTCTATGTAAAGATAAGACTTGGATAATATAATACTAATAATACACAAACCACACTGTTTTTAAGATATTTTTGAGAAACACCTAGCTGCACAGTGTTTTTTTTGACATGGCAATATTGTATTTTTAAAATCAGTGTTTATTAAATTTCACATAAATAACCTGAGTCATAAATGTACAACTTAATGAATTATACAAGGTAAATGTGTCCAGGTCAATAAAAAGAAACATTGCAACACCCCAAAGCCCTGTTAGTACCTCCTCTCAATTTCTCCTGTCCACCTCAAGATTACTGATTTGTAATCTCATAGTTTTGGCTTTTTGTTGAACTTGATGGAATCGTATAGTATGTATTTTTGTTTAGCCTATTTCATCACCCTTTATTTACCCTATTGCATCAAGATTCAACCACAGAACCTAATGGTTTAGGAAATGGTGGAATCATAATGTTAAGCTGCAGCCAAAGAGGTCAGAGGCAGGTTATCAATCTTTTTATGAGATTAACCTTGTTTATGTTAGTAGTTCATTAATTTTCATTATGCTATAGTCTATTGTATGAACATACTATAGTATTTAGTTGTTGATAGGCATTTAAATTATTTTGTTTTGGGCTATTACAAATACTACTGCACTGAATATTGCTGTACAAGTCTTCTGCTGTATATGTATTTCTGATGGGTATATATCTTTGAGTGAAGATACTGGGTCTTAGGATGTATGTATATTTAACTTCAGTAGCTAAAGCTTGTTTTCCAAATTAGTTGTTCATAATCTCACCAGTTGTGTTGGAGAGTTACAGTTCTACATCTTCATCCACACTTGGTTCTGTCAGTTTTTGTAATTATAGTCATTCTGGTGTATGTGTAATGGTATCTCATGGTTTTATTTTGCAACTCCCTGATAACCAGTGAGGCTGAACACTTTTTGTATGTTTATTGACCATTTATTTGGGTATCCTCTTTCATGAAGTTTATTTTTTATTGATTTATGACTTTCTATTTTGTTTTTAATGCTTGTCAGTCCTTTGTTCATTAAATGTATAACAAATCTCTTCAACTCCTTATTTGCTTTCAGGAATAGAAGACCAGGCATGCATGCTCTTCCCTGCCTTACGAAATACACTTTACCAGTAGACATGAATCCATCATTTCAGTATTTTAAGCAATTGTTAATAGATCCAAACTCTATTCTTCAGTAACATTTGTCCTTCCTGCCATTCTCTTTAAAAAATTTTTTTTATTGTGTCTTAGTAGATCTGTTCTCTTCACAGACTTACTTTATATAAGTCTCAGTGTTCTTTGGAAGGAGTTCTGAGAGCATCAGTGGTTCTCTTCATTCTTAGAGTTTTGCCCTGTAAACGTAGTACCCAAATGGTTTTGTGTATCTTTACTGAAGGTATGATTTCCCTTTTAAACTCTATAGTAAAGGGTAATGTAAGGAATTTTTGTCAGTTGCTGCCATCTTGGATGCCACTCCGAGCACATAACACATCTCTCAGTTTCTGTACAGCAACTTCCAGTGCTTCTCAACTAGGGATTACCCATCATGCAAAATTTATTTTTGCTGGTAGACACTAGTAACAGGTTTAAAGAGAATTCTCTTGATGCTTTTATGCTATGCTTTTTCTACAGAGGTTCTGGGTTCTCTTTTTGTGAGTCAGATTCCGTAAATATTTGTATCTGTTACCTTTTGCTAACTTAATGGTTTAAAATAACAACTTAGTTTCTTATGATTCTGCAGATAGACAGTTTGGTTTGGTTAGTTGAGTAATTCTAGTCTGGACTAGACTTTTTGTATTTCTGACCTATGCTTGCGGTTGATGCCCTAACTTCAATATCTGACAGTTGACTCTCTCGTCATCTGGGAGTGCTGGGCTTTGTGTCTCATTGTTGGCAGGCTTACTTGGACTATTTACGTGATAGTCCCGGGTTCCAAGAGTAGCAAACAGTCTAACTCGAATGCATAAGGGCTTTTCAAGCCTCTAGTTGTGTCACATGTTGCTAACATTCCATTGAGCAAAAAAGCAAGTCATATGATTGCCCCAGATTCAGGGGATGCAATAATTCACCTCTTAATGGGCAGAGAAATATGGGGTCATTTGGCAATTTATTACACTTACTGTATAACTGCATACTCAGCATTCTGTGTTCATTTTGCCTTTTTAAAAAAAATTGCCTTATTGAGGTATAATTTACATACAATAATGTGCACACATTTGAAATATACAGTTGAATTTTGACAAATGTATAGTTCCCTTGCTACCACCCCATTCAAGATATACAGCATTTGCATCCCCACAGAAAGTTCCTTCTGCCATTTTGCAGTCAGGGCCATGTCCCAGTGCATACAAGCACTGATTTGATTTTTATCACTATAAATTAGTTTTGCCTGTATTAGAACTTTATATAAAAGAGATCATAGGTTGTGTACTCTTCTGTGCCTGGATTCTTTCACTTAGCATAATGTTTCTGAGATTCATCCATACACTGTTCCATTTTATTTATCTTATTGCTTTGTCCACCCATATTATATTCCACTAATTGTGTAAATGCAGATTTTAACCCAATTTACCCAGTTATCACAATGTATAAAAATCATTGACCTTTAAATTTGGTAAACAACTTTTTATTATTTGAGTGTTCTTTCTGGTGAGTTTTCTTTAGCTTCCAACAGGGAATTAGGAAAGAAGAGTTTACTTAAGTAAAATCTAATTATATGAGAACAAAAATAAATTTATGATTAAGGTGGGAAAGTATAACTTTCAAAGATTGACATTTTAGTAATTAGATAATTCTCTGCCATCTAATTGAGAACTCTATGACTCATGTCTAGGCATATAAACAAGTATAAAGTATGTAATAAAGATTCCTTATTATAATGTTTTTCTAGGCATTTATAAATTAGAGAAAATGAGATTTTAAGAACTGCTTTTCTTTCTTTTTACTTAATAATGAAACAGAATATGGCTACTACTTACTCTTTAATTAGGTAATTGGTTTAGCATGTTCTATAAAGGCAGGCAAGTTTGATTAATGCTCATGAAAAACTTTAATGGGACCTACTCACAATAATTTTCCAGATAAATGCTTCTTTGGTACACTGTTGAATTTGTGCTAGTGATCTATGTATGTTATTTATGAATGTGGAGGTGGTTATGTTACTATCCTTTTGGGAAATAGAAAATTAAATCATGATTTGAGGGGAAAAATAAGATTTTAGCTTAATCAGTTAAATTGCCATATAATTCTAGAATAGACAAAATAATTGCGTGTCAGGCACAATTTGAACTGATAGATTTATGTTTCCAGCTTTCCTTTTATTTGTTCTGACATGAATAAGTTATTTTAGTTTATTCTAAATGGCACTGGTTGTCAGTAGTGTTGACACACAACCTTAGGTGATTTCTGAAAAATTAGCTAATTGAAAAAAATAACAAATTCATATTTTTTATTATTTTATTATATTTTAAGTACAAACCAAGAAAAATGCTGTATTTTAAAATACTTTTTATGACTTCAACTCTGCAGAAATTTTTTTTCTTCTGCTCTTTAAAAGGTTAGAGTGAAGGTTACTATGTACTATCCTATTTTGTAGTCCCTCCCCCAGTCTATCAAAGCGTTTTCTTAGAATTAGACCCTCAAGTATCTGATTAAGACCATTCATGTTTACTTTGGATAGGCAATTGTAAAAGAAAAGACTTTCTGTTCTTGGTAAGTCCTTGTGAAAGTGAAGTTATCAACTGGATAATAGGAGTAATATGCATACCCAACATCCTTTACTCACCAAGGGAAATAATGAAAAGGCAAAGTTTAAAAATTAGTGTTGTTAACCATATTTTGTAATCATGACTTTTGTATTTAACAGTTGAATTCCTAAAATTAGTAATATCTTCTGAAAGAGTGATATTAATTCTTAAGAAAAGCTTTTCTCTTTCCTTGGCATTTCCTCTAAAAATCCCCTTTATTTACCCTATTGCATCAAGATTCAACCACAGAACCTAATGGTTTAGGAAATGGTGGAATCATAATGTTAAGCTGCAGCCAAAGAGGTCAGAGGCAGGTTATCAATTCCTGAAGCCTATTGCTTCTATGATATTACCTGTGCTTGATCACAATCTTTTTCAACAGGTCACCAGAAGTTTGCCAAATTAAGTTAATTACAAAAGAAACGGAACACATCATAAATCAAGTACTAAGCACCTAAGACAGCAGTTGCTATTTGAAGGAAGATCAGTCACTTGAAAAAGTATTGAGTGCTTACATGTTAACTTGAAAATAGTATATTTTGCTAATAGCGAATGTTAATCAATACTTTAACTAGGGAAAAACAGGTAATATGGATATAATAAGCCTTCTTCTACCCCTACAAGGAACACTTACTTATCTAGTAAATCTGTAATGTTAATCTGATAAATGATGGGAGTTGTCAGTCTAGTTAGAAAACTCATTTTGAAATCAGCATGGGGTAATCAACAGTGTTTCCCCCACTAATTGTGTGTACTATATTGAATTTCATGTGTTATGAATTTGCTTTTAAATATACACAGATAGTATTTAATGCATTATATTTTGTTTTCACTGTAAAATCTAGTCCCAATTTTGTTTTGTAAAATAAATTACAGCTTAATAAACTAGAAATGCATATTTTAAATATGTTAACCTCAATTTAGTATGTAGCATAGAGTTTATTGGGACCTCTTTGCTGCAGAAACATATTGTCTAGTCAACTAATAAGTCTTGAAAATTTGTAAAAATTTTGGACTACTTTAATTACAGAGGTACCTTGCAACTTTAAAATGTTTAATAAAAAGTACTTTACATTTATATTTTATCTGTGTTTGAAACTCTAAACATTTGTTTTGAGACTGGACAGGTAGAAAGGTTCATGTCCCTACATAAATATCAGTTCAATTTCATGTATAAATTATGCTTTTTATTTCATAAAATTTGGTTTGAAGAAGATAGTTTTAAAATCAAATCTGTGTTTTCATAGGGTATCATGCTACTCTAAAACATTTAAACTGGCCAGTTTTGCAGTGAAATCTTCATACACCTCAATTGAATGTGAAATCTTAATGAAAACGTCTTTAAAACCCAAATTTACAATTATTGAAGAAAAGAACCTATTCATTTCCTGCTAGTGATAAAATAGATAATGTTAACACTGGCAAGGTGATGGTAAGATTGTGATTTTGAACCTGCCACTGAAATTGAGCCTAACTGCATTTTTTTTTTAAATTAGTTTGCAGGTCGAAGTAAGAAGGAAACCAAATACTCTCTTAAGGCAGTCGAAGACATGTTGGAAACACTGCAGATCACCCAGTCTTAAGGTTTCAAAAACTCTTTCACGTTGTATTTCACAACTGCACAATTGAAGTTACTGGCCTGTGACTTATTTACTAAATGCTCAGTGCAATTTGTATACTAATTTTCTGTTAAGAAGGCAGTTGTAAAGAATGTGTTTAGATAAACCTAAAAGGCTTTTAACTGCAAAGCAGGAAGATGAGAAAAGTCCATGGAAGAGAGATTTAACAAGACTCATTGATTGTACATCTTTCTCTTCATATCACACATAACTGCTTTCAAACCAAAATCTGATGTAGAAATACTTCATTAAATAAATCATGATGATTTACTGAACTTGCATATGAAGATTCTAAATTCTTTTTGTTATACTCAGACAGTGAATATATTGTTTTAGAATTCAATTTCTAGTTAACTCTTGTTATTTGTGAAAGAAAATACATAGCATGCATAGCTGATAAGCAAAATGCTGGCAAATTGAGTCTTTTTATAGTGTCAGGTTGGATTTTGCTCTGCATTTCAGTGCGCTATTTTATGTATTATAATGTCACTCTGCTAAATCTTGCTTAAAATACATCATTCTCCAAAGTCTAGCAATATTTCTTTGTAGTTTTTACTTTGCCATAGGTAATAATTGAGATTTTTACATATAAAAGGCTTTGGATTTAAGGTTCATGTATGCTATAATACTACAATTTTATCCTTATGGAAGTTATATTTATTGATATATCCCTCTTTAACTGTGAATTACATAAAAAATATTTAGAGATCACAGAGAACAGAGATTATAATGGAGCTTCAGTGGCTGAGTTATTTTTACTTTAGGGAAAAATAAGAAAATCTAAACTATCTTTAGAAACAAAATTTTTACAATTCTTACATCCAGTACCTCCTTAGTAATAATTAGAATTCCTTTTTCCTTTTTCTCTTTTCATAATAAACAACCATTATACAACCTGCAGTAGTGTTTTGTATATTTCAATAGAATAGAAAGAACTTTGAGAGTTGAACAGATTACTCCAGACACATATCAATTTTAAAAATAGATGAGTGTTCATTCAGGGCAAATATTTTAGTTTGTTATTTCTCTCTCTCTCTCTCTATATATATATTACATATAATATATTGCATATATATGTGTAGTTACATATATAAATATAAATATTTATTTACCATTATTATACAGAAACTGCATGCTTCTCATGATTGGATTTGGGAAAATGAGTATGAAGAAATTGACAACCTGGAAGTCTTTAGGAAGAAAATTGTTGTTAGTATCAACTTTTTAACCTTTTGAATAATTATCTTAGTAAATTATTCTCTATATCTAATTCTTTCATTTTGCACTCTTCTAATTTTATTCTTTCATGAGTAATGAGAAGATACGAAATAACTCTTCCCATATGAAGATAATTCTTACCAACTAGTCTTTGTTATTACAAGTTGCACTTTTTTTTTTTGAAATATGGTTGACATACATTATAGTAGTTTCAGGTGTACAATATAGTACTCAGCAGTTTATATTTTATTCCCTTCGCATGTTTTATCCAAGATGTACTTTTTGTCCCTGAATTTAGTAACTACATTTTCAACATAATCAACCATTTCATTTGTTTCCTATAAAGAAAATAGTGTTCATGTATTATTCTACTACGTTTGTTCCCTCTAATCCCCTCCCATCAGTAACTAGAGTAGTGTTTAACAATTATATTTGTATAATAATCAATTTAGTGCCTCTTATAACTGTTAGCCTTAGTTTCACTTCAGTTTTTCTAATTGTAATTGTAATTTCTATTTACTAAGTATATTGTTAATGTATAATAATTTATAAACTTCAGTTTAAATGTACTGCTGATTCCATCGTGGCAGACAGTTGTCTACCCAACTAATTTTACCTCCATTTCTTCCTTGTTAACAGTATCCTATTTTGTTCAGGTTCTTCAGGGAGATTAGAACCTTAATTCAGCACCAGGGGATGGTTATCATGATTGATCTAAAGCAGAAGTGGTTTCATTCCTTATGATATGATATGCCAAGGCAGTACTTTTTGCAGTGAAGGAAATATTCTATATTTGTGCTTCCAGTAAGTGGCTATTGAGTACTTGAAATCTGGCCAGTAAAGCTGAGACATTGAATGATTCAATTTAATTTAGATATCTGCATGTAACTCATGACCACTGTATTGGGCAGTGCAGATATCTAAAGTGTGAGTATGTTGACCTACTTAGTGCTAATGAAATGAACAGAAATGTATTGGGAAGGGCCTTCCTTTCAACTTAAAAAGTCAAAGCTCTGTTAGGTGAGGCTTTTTGCCTCATTCTCATCCTTATGACCATGAATGCCAGCAACATACCTAGAGATACAACAGCTACCTTACCACTGTGATAATAATTACCACTGCAAATAATAAGAACGAAAGCTACATTTCAAAGGTGGTTATGTAGAAAGATTAGAGGGAGCCTGGGTCCCTGACAGCATTGTTGAACACCTGAACCAACATGAACAATTAATCACCCACCTCTGCACTTATTACATGAGAAAAATAAACTCTTGATTGTTTAAGCCATTGTTTAGATTTTCTGTTACTTTAGCCAATATGGTTCTGCTAATTCATCCACCATTCATTTTTTATTTCTAACTGTAAAACCCTTCAGATAAGCTAAGAATGGTATTTCAGAATGTAATGATATAAAGTTAAGTAGATAATTACATCTAACAAAAGAAGTAATGTTTTGTTGCAAATCACCCAGGATTTAAGCCAACAGGGGTGAGAAAAGGCATTAAGACAACTTTAACCATAAGGATCATACTAACTTGGGAGCAGAGGAGGATGTAGAAAAGATAGAAATGGAAAACCAGTGTTTCAGTCTGCTGGATACATTTTTATTGGTAAATATTTCAAGAAATTTATTCTTCTAATGTCACTACTCATATATCCTCAAAGTAACTTCATTTTACTTTATTTCATACAACTCTAGGATTTCAGAAGTGGCTTTACAGATGATTTAGTTGAATTCCATTTTAAGATGAGGAACTGAAGGTTCTAAGAAATTAATCTTTCTGTGACAGAGTAGGGAATAGGATCAGAATGTCAGGGATTCTCAAGTCAATGCTCTTTTTAGTATAGTCTGAGACATAAGTCTGTTCTGTGATACGTTGTTCCTACTTTAGAATGATACAAGTGAGAGCTGGATAGAGCCAACAGACATTGCTTGTTAGCAGAGCTGGAATTAGAATTCAGATTTTCTGATTTATAAAACAATTTTTTAATGGAATCATAAAGGTGAGATTTCATTTTGAATTCAATTGAATTTAAACTGTATTACCCATTTGATATGTGACTTTATGAATAGTCAGTGTGAGAACTATTTAAAACTATTTCAAACCTGTTTAACTTTGAACCTCTGATGTATCCTATCTCCATTCTCAGTCTTGGCAAGTAACCTCTTGTTATCGGTTGAATTGAGTCCCCATTAAATACGTATGTTGAAGTCTTAACCCTTGTTAATTCTGAATGTGACTATATTTGGATATAGAGTCTTTAAAGTGGTAAGGTAAAATTAGGTCATGTGGGTGAGCCCTAATCCAATATGATTGATAATTATTAAAAGAAGAGATGAGGACATAGATCAGATACACAGAGGAAAGACCATGAAAGGACAGAGAAGATGCCCATCTACCAGCCAAGGAGCAGTTCCTCAGAAGAAACCAACCATACTGATACTTTGTTCTTGGACTTCTGGCTTTTAGAACTGTGATGAAATAAATCTCCATTGTTTAAGACACCCAGTCCTCTGTGTACTTTGTTAAGGCAGCCATAGCAGACTAATACAGCTCTCTTACTATTTCACAGAGAAAAAGAGAAGTCACCAAATAAAAACATATCCAGTATCAGACATTCTTGTACCCAATTTCACCTCTTTTACTCTTAGAGTAGTAGAAAATAGCCCTACTGTTTCCTGAGCCATTCCCACCACTGTCCCCCTCACTTTGTTTTCTTTCACCATACTTTAGATTCATGAATTTGCCATGCTCTCTTCTACCATAGAGCATTATGCCTTCTGAAAAACTTTGCATTTCTTCACAGTTGTCCTTAAACTGTTTTTTCATTATCTTTTATTTCAACTAGATTCTCCTGTTACTACTAAAATACACTGTTTGCTGGCACTTTTAAAATTTCCAGATCCCCCTCCAGTTACTACCCCATTTCTCTTTTTTACAGGCAAATTTCTTCATGTCTAAACTCATGTTTGTTATTTCCCTCCCATTCTTTAAATTGCTCCAATCTTAAAGCTCTTTCCCCCCATTAATCCTTTGAAATAGCTTAGTTCTATATCATCAATCTAATGAACATTTTTAGTCTTTAAGCCATGAGCATGTTCCACACTTTATGCTCTTATATATCTCACATATGTCCATTTTTTTCCCTTTCCATTGCCACCACCACTCTAGTCTGATTTACCATTACCTAAGTTTTGAACTACAACAGTAGCCAGAAAGCTAGATTTCCTGCAGCTTCACTTATCCTCAGTTCATTCTCCTCTGCAGTTAGAATGTGACAAATATCACTAATAATGCCTTTTTGCCCTCCCCTTCATAAAAACTTCTCAGTTTCCCATTTGTTGCTTTAAACACTAAAAATATGTGTAACCAGCACCAAGGAGGATTCAGAACTTAATTGTAAACTAACCGTCTATGCTCCCCTTCATTTCTGAATTTAGCCACATTTAACTACCATGGAGTTGTTATGCTTCCTTCTGCAAACTTACATGTTCCCTCTAAATAGAACAAAACCTTTCTTGACTTATCTTTTAGAGGTCAAGTCCTTTTTTTTTTCCCTACTGCATTTTTAAAGGGTTTTATTTTAAAATAAGACTCAAAAGAAGTTGCAAAAACAATATGTCTTCACTTGTACCAGCTTCCCCCTATTTTACATAACCATAGCACATTGTCAAATCAGAAAATTGCCATTGCGATAATGCTGTTAACTCATGTATAGACCTTGTTTGGATTTCACAATTTTTACATGTTCATTTTTTTATGTTTATAAAATGTTACATTTGTGGATTCATATCACCGCAATCAGGCTATAGAACTTCTACATCACAAAGGAACTCCTTGCTACTCCTTAATAGTTATACCCTCATCTGACCCTAATGTCTGCCATCCACTGATCTGTCACTATGATTTTGTCACTTTAAGAATATTAAATTTATGGATGTGCTACAGTCTGGTAATCCATTCACTGAGGAAGGACATTTGAATTGTCTCCACAGCCAAGTGGGATTTATACCAGTAAGACTGCTTCAGTATTTGAAGATTGACCAATGTAATCATCTTAACAAGAAGCAAATAAGAAAAAGTACCTGATCATGTGATATAAAAAAAAGCATTTGACAAGATACACTCAAAGTGAAAAAAAAAAATTCGTAGAATGTAACTTCTTCAAACCAATAAAAAGCATCTACAAAACATGTCTAGCATCAAACTTCATGAAAGACTGCATGCATTCCTCCTAAGATTAGGAACAAAGCATGGATGTGTACTCATACCACTTCTATTTGACATAGTATTTGATGTCTTAGCTGGTGCAGAAGATAAGAAAAGGGAATGAATTGGAAAGGAAGAACTAAAACTCTTTGTAGGTTAACCTGATAGTCTACATAAAAAATCCCAGGAAATTTCCAAGAATGTCTCAGAACTAAGAAGTGAGTCAAGCAAGGTCACAGAACTGCATAAACATAAATCAATTTTATTTCCACATGCTAGCAATAGACAATACCATTTACAGTTGCTCAAAAAATAAGTATAAATTTATAAGGACACACCATGGGATTTCATTGCTGAAAACTACAAATACTGACTAACAAAGAAGGCAGTAAATGGAGATACATACTATATTCATGGATTGGAAGAAAACATAGTAAAGATGTTAGTTGTCCTGCAAATGTTGTATAGGTTTAATACAATTTCAAAATACCAGACAGATTCTTTATAGACAAATTTTCCAAAATTTGTATGAGAAGGCAAAGGAATTAGAAATAGCCTAAACAACTTTGAAAATAAAAAAGTTGAAGAGCCAGACTACCAGATATGATGGCATACCAGATTTACTACGTATCTACAGTAACCATGACAGTGTGGTGGTACTGATGGTGTGGTTTTTGTCAGAGAGAGAGATGCATAGAGTAGTGGAACAGAAGAGTGCAAAATAGACTCACCTATGTGGCAAACTGATTTTTGAGAAAGATGCATAAGTGATGGAAGAATTGTGCTGGGACAATTGAATATTCAACAAGTGGTGATGGAGCACTTGGACATTCACAGGAAAAACCCCTCAAACTAGATTTCTACTTTATAAAAACATTTAAATGGGTCATGGATCTAAAAGTAACATGTAAAGCTATAAATTTCTAGGAAAAGATATGGGAAGAAATCTCTTCAACCTAGGTTAGGCCAAAATTCTTCCAAGTGACAGCAAAGATAAAATACTTTTTAAAAAAAAAAAATTGAACTTTGTCAAAAATAAAAACCTTTGTCCTAAGAAAGACCCTATAAAAAAAGATGGAAAGACAAGATGTAGACAAAAAATATTTGCCACATAATTCAATAAAGGACTTGTGTCTAGAATAAATAAGCTTTCAAAATTCAGTAGTAAGGAAACAATCCAATTAGAAAACAGGCAACAGACTTGAACAGATACTTCAACAAAGAGGCTGTTGGGATGGCAAATATGCACATGAAAAGATGTTCAACGTCATTTCCTATTAACAGGAGAGTGCAAATTATAGCTATAATGAAATACCATGAGCACCTATTAGAGTAGCTAGAAGAATGCCTAATATCCCATGTGCTGATGATTCTTTGGAGCAACTTGGAAATATGAACTGTTTAGCTCCTCTGGAAAACTGTCATACACCTTCATTTGGAAAATTTATCACTTTAATTATATTTTCAAGTGATTGTCTCCCCGAGGAGGTTCTTTAATTACATGACGTTAGATGCCACTATTGTCATTCCAGCTTCTAGCCTGATGCTTGCACATTGTACATTATTTGAATGAATTAAAGATTCTTTGAACATTTGGTACAATTTATTTAATAACTTTACTTCCAGAAGTAGTTTAGCTTCACTTATTTACTTTGTTTTCTGGTAAATAAAATTTTCAAAAATCTAAACTGTATATCATGAACAATAGAACAATATTATATTAAGGCTGCCAGTGAGATTGTACATACACCATGTAAATAATAGAAAAAAAGCCCAATACTTAGCAGTTTGAGTACTCTGAAATACAAAAGATGGAATAGCTGTAGACTTTTCCCAACTCTAAGGATATTGTGAATGGCCAAAAATGATTAATGTGCTATTGAAATTTCTAGTAAATAGTTCTCAAAGTATGGTCATTTTTGAACTTTTTAGAAATGCAAATTATTAAGCCTCCCCCCAATTCTACTAAATCAGAAACTCAAGATGGGGTCCAGCAATTTGAGTTTTAACAAGCGCATTAGATATTCCTGAGAACCACTAAAATTTGAAAACCATTGGTCTAGACTAGACTTAGTTATTTGAAGATGAAGAATCAAGTGATTTTGTGGAAACCTGTGTTACTTCCTATATTTCTTACATTGTGTTTGTGTATGGCATTCTTTGTGTTATCCCCTCTTTTGCTTTATTTCTTTTCTACTTTCACTATTAAAATGTTTTGCTGCAACCTTGTTTTCCCTAGATGCCATTATATACTGAATGGAGTGTTTTTCTCTTAGTAATTTTAAAATTAGTATACATGTGAAATAGCTATTTTTCTTCCCAGAAGTCAAGCTGAATTTGATTTTCATTAGTTGTCCTCAATAGTTAAAAAAAATTTTTTTTTGAAAGAAAGGGGTTGAAGGTGGGTCAGTGGTTTTTAAAAAGGAATTCTATCTACACATATGTACACATATATTCATATATACCTCCCACCTCTCCTATGTATAAATGCATATTTGTATTTCTTTTTGCAACCAGTTGTAATAACCACAATGCAATATAGAAAGCATGAGCTTTGTATTACAGTGGCCATGGTAGAAAGCAAGCATATTAAAGTCGTCTGTGCTGTACTCACTGTTTCTTAATATAACCTGATTAATAATTAGAATTTGATGCCAAAAAGTTAAAGTAGCATATTGTGGCAAACCATTTCAGGTGCAAATGAGTGAATTCTAATAGAGTCAATTACATCTCTACTATTTAATATAAGAAAACAAACATATAAGAACATACAATTAATTTCAAGACTTCAGATCCTGAAAAAATTCCTCCACCTCAACAAACTGCTGCCCCCAAAACAAACTTGGAGACATAAACTTGGCAAATTTGGATAGGGAAACATCTACTTGCAGATGTCCAATACTGTACTTTTCCAAATAGACAGTGGACAGTAAGTGAAAAAATCTGAGCTTATGTCTAACTAGAGAGTTATACTAATAAGTTTCCATTTAATTATGAATTCAATTATTTTTTAGACAAAGATAACATGAAAACATGTTTATAAATTATGTGAAAATGTGGTTGTACTGAATAAATGAACAAGAAAGTAGAGATTTATCAAATAGTGTGTTCTTTAAAACCTCTAGGTAACAATGTGTACCATAATATAATAATTTAAAATCAATTTGAAGTTCTCCAGACTGGTAACTATAGCCAGTGGTTTCAAGTGTTGGACTCAAATATCAGCTGATTTTGGATCCAATTTCACTATACTGGTCTACATGTCATATTCAGTATGAAAGAGAGAACCAGAGAC